TGTGCAGCTCCAAACCACAGCAGCTTTGCTCACACCAGGACAGGTATTCCCCAAAGCATGCACAATTTATTAAAGGAACATACACTTACGGCGTTATCCCCTAAAATATCCAACTTTTTCATCAGCTCTGCTACCACTATGTCCTGACAAGAGAGAAAAGAAGAAGAGGGAGTGAGCACAGAGCACTGGCTTTGCTCAGGGAGGGGAGGAAAGGAGAAGAATCCCTTACTGTGACACCTTCAGCCTCGCAGTAAACCTGCAGCGGGCTCTTCCCCTCCGTGAAGGGGCCGTGGTGGAAGTTGATGGCAGGGGAACGTCTCTCCCTCTCCTGCAGGGACAGCAATTCCTTGGTCACCCACTCTGGAGTGCCACACCCCAGCATGTGCAAGGTTTGGGGTTGGAGGGGTTAAAGCTCACCCCATTCCACCCTCCTGCCACCCAACCTATTGACAGCCCCAGTGTGGGGGAACGGGGCCCCAAAGCCCTAATTCTGAAACTCATCCCATTATTGTGTGTGACTGAAGTCTGAGAAAAGAAAGTGATGTTTGCTGCCCACATGGAAGAGGAATGCTGCATCCTTGAAAAAAGCAGATTAGAATGCAGAATTGATAATGCAGGTGGCTCGAAATTATAAACATTACTAATATTGTAGCTTTTGCAAACTCACCAATTATGTTCTGATCACTAATTAAACAGCTGTCTCTTGACCAATGTATGTTTGACACAAATGTGTACTCTGGTTGCTAAACTGGATAAAAGAAGCTTGTCCCACAATAAAGTCCTTCTTTCTTTCAGTTTTTTTCACCCACTTTTGTGTGTTTTGCATCTATGCTTTTCTGTTGCGGTTTGGCCAGCAGCGACACCCGAGTGTTTGGGATTTTCTCTTCTCTCAGTCCCCGCAGAGTGCCCTGTCCATGACCCCATCCCAAACCCGCTGTGCCCATCCCAAATCCTTGGTGCCCATCCCAAACCCGCTGTGCCCATCCCAAACCCTTGGTGCCCATCCCAACCCCGCTGTGCCCATCCCAACCCTGCTGTGCCCATCCCAAACCCTCTGTGCCCATCCCAACCCCGCTGTGCCCATCCCAATCCCGCTGTGCCCATCACAAACCCCGCTGTGCCAATCCCAACCCCGCTGTGCCCATCCCAACCCCACTGTGCCCATCACAAACCCCGCTGTGCCAATCCCAACCCCGCTGTGCCCATCCCAACCCC